CCATTTCCCCCGCTGTATAGGGCCATGCTAGCATTTCGGGGATAGTGCCACATTATCGTGCCTACTGCCTTTAAATTACGCGGAAGTCGTCGTGTGGCTTGCATGACGGCTTCGGCCTAAAACTAACATAGTTTTTCACTGTGGGAGGGCTTCTGACTTCTCAATGGACATAATTTCGTTGAGGCATAACGTAGTGCGAAGGCTCTTCGTACGATATCCATGTAAACAGTGAATCTTGCACTCACAGAACTTGAGCTGTTCCTTCACATGGCACAGGTACAAGCGGGTGAGATAGAACGGAGTAGTCTCACTCTTTGCTTGTATCATGGCTCAATATTTATGGGGTATTTAAAGGCAGTTGGCACGATAATTTGGTACTCGGCCTAGTATGCTAGCAGGGTGCTATATAGTGGGGAAAATGGCGAAAAAACGAAGTGAAACGGTCAAAACCTGCGAAGAAAAGCCTTCGCTTCTATGACTCAAAAGCAATTTCGGACGAGTTTCCCGTGGGCACCGCCAATAACCGCTACGGTAGATGCGGCTGCATGTATGTACTCATATATCCATGCAGCACCGCAGCCGCTTCATACCCTTCGCTTCATATTTTGCTTAGCAAATGAAGCAATACGAGCATCAGGTACGGTCGTCCATTTGTGGGCGGGCGGGCGCGGTGGGCGTTCGGGTCGGTATGTTGTAGCTTGACAGGGCCTTATAAGGGTACCTTCCTTGGAAAAGGCGCTACGCAGCGCCTGCTCAGGTCCGCGAAATTCGGTCCTGCTAGACGTATTAATCCTACTCGTCTGAAGGATTTATCGTGCCATCTGCCTTTAAGGATGCAGATATGTTGTTGTATTTTTTATTGTTTTCAAAACTGAACCTAGAACGGTGGAGAGTGAAAGCTATTGTCCCATTAGAGGGAAATTAAACTGTGCTGCATTGAGAGGAGACTGTTCGGTTTTCTTTGGTGTGGTGCATGTAATTTTAGCAATACTTGAAATGTTCAAGAGTCAAATCCTTATGTACATCATACCTCTCTGTTTCTTATACTGTGCATATCCAAAGCTTTCGAAACTTCTGTGGCATTTAATGCATTTGGCATGTCTTGTTTATTTGCGAACACCAATAGCACAGCATCTTAAATGCACCTTCGTATAGATTATTCAAAGACCTCAATCACACCAGATAAGTTTGATAAACAAGATGTTCAGCTTGAGGTTATTAACTGATTTTCGAAAGACAACACCAAATCGCAGAGTAAAACAGGAGTGTACTCCGCGCTGATCGCATGGGCGGAGACGGAGCACCATTTCTCATTTTCACCGCCTTAAGAATAGAAGCGTTCCACTTAAAAAGGCTTAATGTTCGGATCCCCATCTGTTTTCCCAGCGAGGGCACTTAAACATCAACGACTTGACAAAATCAACTTCCGAAGTCCTGTTCTAACTCCTGTCATCTTTCACTTACAAGAATTATAATTCCAAAAATATTAGCGCCTTTCAGAATGACTGCCTTACCCAGTCCCTTGAACTTTGATGCACCTCCACACGTAGCGGAGCGCTACACTCCATACGCCGGGGATGGAGATCGCGTGACAGTGTAGTTCATTTGAGGCAGCAGCTGAGCTTTTGTAGATTTCGCCTATTGGCACAGTAGCAATAATGTCCTTGTATAGCACAACACAGGATGACATTCGTCTTAAATGAATTCCCCGAAAGGCTTCCTACCTGTGTTGTAAAGTACGCAGCCACGACCTCCCCACTTCACAAGAAGCTAAATTCAGTATTACCGCCACGGTACCGTAACCCAAAGCGGCGCCCAGTTCATGATGTAACTCCGCAGTGGACGTACGTATAACACCGAACTTTACGTCGATACCACAACGGGAACTGTGCGGAAATGCTTGCATATACTGAAGTGTTCGAAGATGGAATTTCGAGGGGAATTTCGTGCTTATTTCACTTATGAATTCTTTCGTCTCGACATAGAGGTTCCGAATGTTTGGCATGTGCGCAACGTAAGAGAATCCGTAACGCTCACAACACTTCTTTCTAACTATTGCAGTTGGAGAATATTTACATGAATATAATGAGCCGGATTAACATACTCCAGACCAGAAAAATTCTTTTACAAGTGCTTTCCCAACTTATTTCATGAAATTTCACTGCACGCGTAGAGACTGCAAAAGCGAAAGACGCCACTATCACAACTAGACGTAAAAAGTAGTGATCTGATCACTGACGTGACATTTTTCGTGACGGTACCATTTGGCGCCAGTTTGGTGCAACTACAGTTCGGACTCAGTTCTGGTGCGACTATAGTTCGGACTCAGTTCGCTACAGACTGGTTGTTAGATTGGAGAGGTAATCCTGGGTCACGAGTATAAACACGACTTGGTTATTAGTGCTGACAAGAAACTTCAGGGTCAGGATCGCGACTGGCAGTACCAAATATACTCTTGTAGACAACGTTTCTGATGGCAAGTTTTTAACATAATTTACCGTCATATCTTGGCGGTGTTACAGAGGAACTGTGCTCAAGCAGTTCCCCTCTCAACAAAGGCTCCCTAATTCCACAGTAATGTTTGTTCTACTTCAGAAGATGATTGCACAATTTGTAACTAAGGTTTTGGGAGAAAAAATTATTCCCAGGTTGAAAAGTCGTAGTTGTGAACGCGACCAACTGCATGCAAGTACCACCTATTCCACCTTTCGAGGCGATGAGGCTAATAAGTCGACCGTAGTAAATTTATTGTTTACTACAGCGAACTTGGAAAGCCGTCTCTATCCCACATTGGTTAGCATCAAGCGTGCAGCACCGTCAAAGTGCTTGAAGCAATGGTAATAGAAAGATAGATCAGGCCTATCTCCACATCGAAATCCTCACAATATCCGAAACACACATCCGTTCTCTCCCACCCTGAAAAAAAATCACAGGCGTAGTTTCAGCGTCCGTGCTGATGTTTTCAACGCGCCTACGACAGAATTACAATTTAAAGGGCGCCGCTTTGGGTTACGGTACCGTGGCGGTAATACTGAAGTTAGCTTCTTGTCCCCACTTCCGGGATAAAATGTGCAGTGATAACCTTTTGCATGCCAGGATTTCGAAAACGCTGCTCTGATATAGCCCGGATTCGAATGACTGGCAGGGCAAACTTTTGTTTCCAGGATGACCCAAACAGGGAATCTGTCTGATTAAGATCTGGAAAACTGGAAAGCTGTTCGTTGGTCTCTACAAAGTCAGGAAGTGGCTCGCTCACTATGTAAAATCGCCATCGTATGTGATAGGTACTCTCTGTCAACTCGTTATTATCGGGACAATGCTAGCCTTTATCTCTACCACAGTAACTTTCTCATTAATTTAATAATTCTCAGAAATGTACCGTGTAGCTCGGCATCTTCAACAAGAGAGTGAATCTCGTTACGAGCCTCGGTCATACGATCGACGTCTGCACTGTCAACCACGAAGATTATTGCCTGAAGGACGACGAGCGAGTCAGAAAGCTTTCACAGAACGTGTGACTTTCTTAATTATCACGTAGGTCTAATGATCACTAGCCTGGGTATCGCGGAAATAGTACTTCCAAAGAGCCCTAATCCTCTGCTGTCCACCGACATCCCACACAGTAAACGAGACGTTACGGTATTCTACTGTTTCCAAATTGAATCCTGGACTAGTATTCAGTATCACATTCATACAAAGAAAGTTCGCGACTAATTTCGTAAGCTTCAAGAAATTAAACTGAGTTCTGAAGCAGTGTTGAATTGTTCAGCAGTCGCACAGATCTTCACAATTGCTGATCATCTGTTAATTCTATATTGATTTTCAGCTGCGTGGCTGCGTTCATATACTCAAAATCCCTGAGATGAAGTAGGCTTGACTGCGCACGTCAAATCAAACGTCGTGGTGGCTATGCTTTTGGAGAGATATTTTCATTTTGACCCAAATGTGGTCACGTCTCTGTCCAACAAAGAACAAAATGGCGGTTGTCTCAAAATGAAATATCCCACGGGTGACCAATTTCGTGCCATGTTCGAATGCCACGCTTACGTCTCAGGGATAAGGAGTTTACTTAGGAGTTGAAAAATTCTTGAAGATGGGGTATTAAAGAGAAGAGAATGAGTACTTGACAGAGAAGAGAATGCAGTACTTTTGCTTATTCTCAGAGTCTATAGTTGGGTGAAATCAGCTAAGTTGAAACTGGAAGACCGAAGGATCTGTTACGCGGATTTAAAGACACATGGTACGCTCAAGCACAACTTGAGGGTGTATTGAGTAACTATCAGCCCCAGCTACGATATGTCCGTGGTCCCCACCAACGCCAAGAAAGCTGCCACGGGTGTTGGCAGAGTACGGACCGTGGGAAAATAGTACTTTCCGTAGCTTGCAGCCGTTCGCGACTCAGTTTTTCCTGCAACCGTCTTAGCGCGGCGCGTGTCGCGTGCAGCTCTCTTGGCTTTTTGCCAAGTCCTGTAATTGCGCTTGGAATACAAGTACAACGCAATTTCTTTATGCGGATAACATTAGGTCCACCTGCAAAAATAAGACCGAACATGATGACGAGGGGTAGAACTCAAGAACAACTGTGGTGATTCTGCAATATCCCTCAGAGGCCGCGCATTCCCCGAAAATGACAATAAAAACGGCCTAAGCGGTCGTCCACTTCGTTTAGTTTTGAGTAATTTCTATGCGCTTCTAGAGCCGGATTCGGCCGGTCGCACAAATGCACACGCAATTTTAATTTATTGCGTTTCCTTAGTTTTTTTTTCAATTTTGTTTTATTTACATCTACATTCGTTGTTGTTCATTTCTAGCCTTTGTCATCTTCATCACCTTCTATTCGGACTTTGAAGCATTGCAGCACAATGTTAGGAATTGCGTTTTGCTTGTATTGTCATGTTTTATTGTCATGTTGTCCGTTTTTATTGTCATGTTCTGTGGGAATGCGCGGCCTCTGAGGGATATTGCAGAAGCAGCCACAGTTGCTCTTCTAAGTTCTAGCCCTCGTCATCATCTTCGGTTCTTATTTTGCAGCACCTAAAATGTTATCCGCATAAAGAAATTGCGTTGTACTTGTATTCCAAAGCGCAATTACAGGACTTGGCAAAAAGCCAAGAGAGCTGCACGCGACCGCGCGCGCGGACGGTGTTAGTAAAAACGTGAGTTTGCGAAACGGGCGGTGTAGCAAGGAATTACGACTTCTCCACGGCCCTGTACTCTGATCCCGTTAAGTTTGTAGGGTGGCAGAGGAAACACGACCATCGACAGCTGGGGGCTGGACCAGTCCGATACACCCTCAATAATGTTTGAGCTCACCATGTGTCATTATGACAGTTCTGACTATCAAGTGGTCCTCGAAATGCCTCCGTGTATTCGACATTCGCAGAGGATATACCACTTCCGTCAGTCGAAACGGCGAGGTAAAAGCTAGAGACGCGTGATCATTGCAATCATTGCAACCACGGCTACTTCACTTGACAGCGAGACAACGCTACGCGAATTACGTTTGATGAGCGTTGCCTGGCGAGCGTCATATGAGTCCCTGCTGCTCTTGCGAGGACATGGCTGCACTCGAGATCCTGTAGGTTGCGCTCCGAAATACTCGTCCCGAAGTGTTTTAGGAGCGTCTTGTTCAGATGTTCCCGAGTTTTTCACATCGCCTGTGAGGAATGCACTTACGCGGCCACTGGGTCATGAGCTCCTATAAAACGGATTTTCGCTGAGAGTGGCCTTTGAGAAACCCAAAGAGCCACAAATATGTGATACTAGTCGCGTTTTCAGTATGACATATACAGTGTCACGGCTGCTACAACTCTCCGAATTGCGACTCGGTATCGTTTCTTATTCTAGTTCTTCTTCTTTCTGCTTCTGTTGCGGATCCGCTTATTGTCGTCTTATTCGCCGAGTGATTGATGGAATTGTGCCAACTACTTTGAGTCCACATGCAACGTGTCTGACCAGTGCTGCTTGGGGGTCTTTAGGCCGCTTTCCGGAAACCTCGAGCTCAAGACCAATCGTAGGGACGGTGTCATAACTTGCGCGAAGAACATGACCATACAATCGAAATTGAGCTTCGCGCATTTTCTCGGCCACGGGAGCTACACCAAATTTCTTCCTTATGTCGTCATTGCGTATGCGATCCATACGCGTTACACCGGAGACCACCGCAACATTTTCATCTCCATGACTCCGAGGCGCGCTTCAACTTCTCTGGTCGTAGGCCAGCATTCAGCACCGTATATCGCGACTGGTCGAAAGACGGTCCTGTGGATCTTCGACTTGAGGCGACCTGGTATCGTCTTGTCGCAGAGAACGCCAGACCGCCACTTAGACATGGTTGCACTCACGCGCGCGCTCACTTCTGAGTCAAGACTACCGTTAGACGTAACTACTGATCCGAGGTATTTGAATGTTGTCGTTCGCGTTAGCACACTGCCGCTGACCTTAAGGGAACCAGACTCGTCCGGATCAGTCATCAAATACTCGGTTTTCTTGTTGTTCAAACTGAGCCCGAAGTTTGCTAACCGCTCAGTCCAAGCTTGCGGTTGTTCCTCGAGACCATTTTTATTCTCGCACGCAAGCATCATATGTCAGCGTAGAGAAGCACCCAAGGAGCCGCTTTGGGAGGTTCGTGAGATGGCGTTCATGACGACAATGAAGAGCAGCGGGGAAAGCGCTGAGCCTTGGTGCACCCCAACTGTGATGGGGAACCCCATCGAAATGCCCGCTGGACTTCGCACTCGACTCGTTCGGGCTGAAGTACAGGATGCGTACCCACTCAATCAGCTCTTCGAGAACGCCGTGCTGCCTTAAGGCACACCATATAACGTCACGTGGGACGCGGTCGAATATTTTCTCCAGAAGGGAAGGAAGGCTAGATGGACATACCTCTTTTTGTCACGATGTTTCTCCAGCAAGAGGCGAGCGGCATGAATGGCGTCTATGGTGCTACAGCCAGTCACGAAACCACACTGGCTGGTAGAGAGCTGGACGATATCACGAATACGCTTATCAACAATTCGCTCAAAAATTTTCATGCTGTGCGAGAGCAAGTGAATTGGACGATGATCTGAGTAGTATGAAGGTTGCCTTTTTTCTTCCAGATCGATCGTCGTGCCCTCTTGCCATCCTTTGGGCATTTTCCTTTCTGCAACGACCAGATTGAAAACACTTCAACCATCCGCAGCATACCAGCAGTGTGACTTCCATAATTCGGCCGCCACTTCGTCAGGGCCCGTTGCCTTGCCTGGCTTCATCTTCTTGAGAGCCGCTTCCGTTTCCTTCACGCTTGTTTTCTGAACGGCGACCGTTACGTTTGGGAAGGCGCAGCGTGTTGGCCGAGTGCTTATATTCCACCTGTGGAAATTTCCTCAAAGTAATCGCGCTGTTGCACAGCACCTCTTGTTCGGTCCATCGGAAGGCGTCCCTTCTCGTCATTGATGCCAAAGAACTTCTCCACATCATCGATCTGGCGGTGACGAGCTTTAGCATGTCGGTGAATGTGCCGATCGCCATCACGCGTTTCCGGCTTCTTGCTGATTTCATCGAAGTGAGAGGCTTTGGGGCCGCCACAGCCTCCTTTGCCGGTTTTTTCGCTTCCTGGTTTTTTCGCCAGTTGCCAGCTGACTTGTCTTCGAGAAACAAGTGATAGCGTTTCTTCTTCTCGCAAATCTCTATACTGACGTCATCTGTCCACAACCATGCTTTTCAATTCTACGCCTTCCAAGTTTCGTTGTGCTAAGCTCAGAGCGAGCACCTTGGGCATTCGCTTTGGCAGCATTCTTCCAGGTGTCCACGACAGTAGTGGAGCGTATTTGTAATGCGGAATGCGAAGAGATCCAGATTGCTCCTTTCTTTTAAATGCCACATTTTCGATCTCGACATCGCTCTATCTGTTTAGACCTGGGCGGTGTTACCTTTAGGGTACAGATAAGCGGGCGGTGTTGCGAGGCTACTGTCTCATACGGCACGGTCTTCGCGTCTGTGACAAAGTCCTTGGTCGCGATGCCTGACAAGAACGAAGTCTATTTGTGTTCTGGCGCTTCCGCTGTAGAAGGGTTATCAGGTGGGAGTCACGTTTACGGAACTTTGTGTTCACGATGGCGAGATTATGGGCTTCTGCATATTCCAAGATGCGTTCGCCATCGGCGTTACGTGTCCCATAACGGAAACCAGAATGACAACTGTAACCGCCTTTCGTTGCGCCCACGTGCCCGTTAAGGTCACCAGCGACAATTATGACGTCCTCTAACGGTACCTCAGCTGTCTTCTCCTCGAGCAGAGAAAACTCGTCCTTTGATTATTCAGCGCATCAGGAGCATATGCAGAGAAGAAGTGGTACAGCGCTGTTCCATAGCAAGAAAAGTCTTCATCAAACGGTCGTCGAAACGCTAGCTATCGAGTCACGGGAACGTCGTGAGACGATTATGGCACACCGTTAGTGGTCCTTGGCGTGCCGCAAAGAATGGCTTTGAAGCCCCGACCAAGGTCTCTCGACTTGCAACTGGACCATCTTGTTTCCTGCACTGCACAGAGATCGATTCGTCTGCGCTCCAGTGCCTCTGCTAATTCACATGAACGTCCGGTCAAGGTTCCAACGTTTAACGTTGCAATACGGACTTTATACGCTACACTGCCAGGATTGGGACTAACCTAGTCGTCCCCACCCCGTGCCACTTGAACGAGACCCTCGATAC